CTTCCTCTCCAGGTAATGGCTCGCATGTGCTGCTCAGAACTGTGCCAAACACTATCCCCAAAACTATTATAATTCCCACTGTGCAGGTGAGAAACAGGCTGACAGAAGGTAAGTCACTCTTTGGCTGAGTCGGGGTTCAAAGGGGGCCTTTTGATTTCACACACCCAACCTTTGCTACGACACTCTCTTCCCTCCCATGACTAATCTGAGTCATTTTCTTACAAAAAGGATAAACCTTTTGGTAGTAAAAGACCAGGATGAAGGGGTAATTGATAACAATGGGAACATTTTTTGGAGATTTGCAAAAATTTGAAAAAAATATTTTCTTAAGCTTGTCTTGCCAATGGGAATCCCGCTATGGATTCAGTGTGACCGTAGAAGTGACAGTAGAACGCTTCTTTGGGGTGAAAGGGTTTATTACCCGGCTTGCTCTCCCGGGGGCAGGTCGAGCACTAGCGTCTCCGCCTCCGCCTCCGCCTCCGCCCAGAGCACTGGGCCGACCTCTGTCTATAGCACAATAATAGCTTATTGCGTAAAGGTGTGTAAGCGGTAGCCTAGCAACAGGCCAGTTACATCATCAGGTGGTTTAAGTTCAGTGAGGATCCTGGCCATGGGAACCCCAACTTCCCCACAAGCTTTACTGTAAGAATACAGTATACAATACATATATAAAATATGTGTTAATCAACTGTGTTATCAGTAAAGCTTGTAGTCAACAGTAGTCCATCAATAGTGATGTTTTTAGGGAGTTAGCTGTATGTGCATTTCAAACTGCACGGGCTGGGGGGGCAGTGCCCCTAACCCTGCCCCTGACACTGTTCATGGATCAACTGTACCGAAATTAATCTTTCATTTGCAGATAAATTCTATACTTATAGAAAAAATCTTCTGTGGGGGTTTATTTATTGAAATAACCTGTGCTTAAGTAGACACATGCAGTTCAAACCCGTGTTGTTAAAGGGTCAAGTATACTTAATCAGCTTAGCCCTTGTAGGTCAAAAGATTACAGCTCCAAATTTTGGATTTAAGCTTCCAAATAACACTGCTGTTTGTACTATAGGAAGGCAACTCCATAATTTATAAATAACCTGCATGGTACATTTTTTTTTTACTATCATCATGTGCAAAAATCTCCTCTCTCATTCAAACTGATGAATGTGAAATGCCTCTTTCAGGGGAATACAGAAATATCCCAAGAGCCACAAGGAAAACTCCCAAGGAAAAGGTGAGCATTGAACAGTAAAGGTACCAAAAACTATGAAAAACAAAGATAATTTTGCATAAGCAAAATTATTCTAAGCCCCCTATCTAGGTACTTTTAATTCCTACTTCAAGATTATTTTCTTCTTCCAATAAACTCAACCACCATCTTAAATGGTGGTTGCTTACTTTCCATGACACCCATACAAATCCGATTTTTAAATTAATCAGTGGTGTATACAAATGGAATACTACTCAGCCATAGAAAAAAAGAATGGAATCTTAACATTTGTGAGAACACAGATGGACCTAGAGGGTATTATGCTAAGTAAAATAAGTCAAGAAAAGACAAATATCATGATGTCACTTATTGTGGAATCTGAAAAAACTCATAAATAAAAAGAACAAACTGATGGTTGCCTGAGGGACAAGAGTAGAGAGGATGGGATACAGAGGTACAAACTTCCAATTATAAACTAAAGAAGTCACAGGGATGAAAAGTACAACATAGGGAACACAGTCAATAAAACTGTAATAATTTTGTATGGTGACAGTAAATGTACTTGTGAGCGTTTTATAATGTACGTAATTGCTGAATCACTATGTTTACAGTTGGAAAGAATACAGTATTGTATGTCGACTATACTTTAATAATAAATAAAATTAATCAGTGGACAGTAGCTAACATAATAAAATGAACTATTTATTCATAAATATAAGAAAGACTTTAGGTGCTTCACATTTGTTCTTTGCTTCCATGGCTGGGATTAGACTGTTGTATTAGAGGCATTTTTAGGGGGCACTGAACTTGTTCAGAAACTGCCCAGTAATATAACCTCAGACGTGTGACTCCTTCCAAGCCTGTCAGCCCTCTACCTTGAGCGTCCCTGTGGAAATGACTTCCCAAGATGATCGTGACATCAGCGAGGACTTTTGCCCCCACTAACACAGCTGGGATTTTATCTTATAGGAGAAGTTTACGTGCTCAATTTTCTTCCATGATTTTGATTTGCAAGCTAAGAGTAGAGAGGACTGTGTCTATTGTGACTAAATACAATGAATGAACAGAAAAAAAAAAATACATATATGCATAACATTAAACTTCAAGTTAGTGAAAGCTTTCTTCTGAGAGTATTATATAAACTCTGAAACACCAATTAAAGAGTAGCAGTCAATATTCAAGGTGCCAAGCATGCTTCATGGATAGTATCTTAACCCCAAACACCTTTACAGGGGAGAGGTTTACTATATCATGGACATGAGCAAAGTGAAACCTCATTAAATTTGGACATCTAGCCCTAAGAAGAAAAATGTGATAAGACAACTTACTTTAGAAAAAATAATTTTGTGTCTCACCAATTTTCATGAGCATCAAATTAACATGTGACTTTATAAACATGGTCACCAGTGCTGTGACTCGAGGGAAGAGGGTGGGGGAAGGTACTAAGGGACTTTTCGGGGCTCATCTCAGCAGTAGGTTTTTATCACATAGTCTATAAACAAATGGGCAAAATAAAGTTGGAATTATTTTCATAATAATGGCCTACCCTACCATCACTGAGCAATCATTTAATCTGGATTCCTGTTTTAATGAGAAAAAATTATAACTGAAAAAGTCATTCTATACTAGTCATTCGATGGAATGATATAAAACTGCTAATATCCTCCATTTTGACCTAAAAAAATGTCAATTTTATATGGTTCACCAAATATAACTAACTGTCTTTGAAAGTCATTCCCAATAGGATCACACAGGAGCTTAAAGAACAAGCTATGTAGCAATGTAACACAGTGTTCCTTGGGCATATGGTACCTATCAATTTACTTATTTAAAAAGAAAACGTCTAACCATACTAGATCCTAATAATTATTAATATTACCTTTAGCAACAATCAGGAGAGTGTATTTTCATGACTCTGACATTAGTGAGCTGGATTATTTCAGCTTCTTTAGACCTCAGTTCCCTCACCTCTAAGTAAGAGACCAGATGGTAACTATGTCCATCCCAGTTTTGATCATAGAATTAAATGAAAGATGTTTTACTGGCAGCAATATGGTATTTAATCAGGATAGTAAAACATGTGGGCCGCTGCTAATTTAGAAGTTTGATCAAAATAGAGCGATCAAGTTTACAGCGATGGGTTTTTCAATACAGAATGACCCTCTCTTCTCCTCTCTCACTCCTCCCCAGTGAAAAAGGTTTTTATTGTGGGCATTCCCCTTAATAAAATGCTGGCAAGCAAACAACTAATTCAGACTACCACTGTTGGTTTCTATTTTATGGTCTGTCTATATAAATAAAAGAGCATCGATTCACAAATGAAAATTTTACAGTGCAAGTTTGGGGGGGTTTTATTTTTTGGTTTTTCTTTTTTCTAAATAAAAAGACTAGTAAATAACACATAGATGGTGTTCACCCCAGCTCAAAACTAATTTTAAAAAATCCTGTGCTAACAATTTATACAGGATGATTTCAGACCTGTCAGCTTCCAGAATTTTCACAGAGGTAAAGCATTAATCTTCTTTAATATTTAGTGTTGGCTTGGTGCCTGGCATTTTGTTAGGAGCTAAGGGAAACAGAAAACAAAGTAAGACACAAATACTGCCTTCCAGGAAGTTACAACTGAGCCAGGAAAGTACAGAGGAGCCAATTTAACAATTTTGCAACGCACTCCATGGTTCCGTGTCCAAATGCATGTGGCCATCAGTAAGTACTGGACCATCAGAAAACACAAAGGGCTAAAGCAGTCAGGAAAGAAATCTGACAAACTGACAGATAACAAGAACAAATAAACTTTATGTGTCTCCCGATACTCTAAGAAGTACTTTTCAAAGAAGAGCTCCTTTAAACCTCCTAACAACACAGTGGGAGAGGCACTAGTATTGTCTCCATTTTGCAGATGCAGAAACTGAGCCTCAGTCATGTCAAGGAGTTCATGCAGGGTTGCACCACCAGTAGGGGTACAACGTGGACTGAACTCTAGAAATCGGAGGCAGGCAGAGAGGAGATGACTTGAGCTAGATCCTCAGAGAGGGAGGCCTTAGGGAAGAGGAGGACATGGCAAGAGTGTGCTGGGAAGAGAGAACAGCAGGCACGAAAGCCCAGGGACAGGAATGAAGAGACTTCTGCCTCCCCACTTCCAAGAAGAGACTAATCCTGACATGTTAGGTAAAGCCAGGCCCTGCGGAGGCTGGGTGGTTTGTGTCTGCATATATTCTTACTAATCTCCACTCAAACTAAAAGTTTCATGATAGAAAAAGTTCAGGTACCCTCTAAAATATATAGGCTTTTAATCTCAATTCTCCTCTGTATTCTTTGATAGCAAGTATTTGGAATGGCTCTAACTTTGAGAAACATCTTGATTTTCCTATTTTAAATCAAGGTATTAAAAAAATCAATTAGTGACAAGATAGCCACTCTCTTTCACACTTAGTAAATCCAAGTTTAGTTATACACATTTGTCCCCTGCAAGGAATGCAGTATGTTACACTTTTCATGACACTAAAGCTAGTTATGGCTGTATATCTCAAGACTTCATCATAAGTACTTAGGCAACTGGCACCAAGAATAGAAAAAAAAAAGTCATTAAAAACATACTTGAATGATTTCTGAATGGTGTTCTGTGCTGTTTGTAGATAAAACTAGCAAAATACAGAACGTCAGAAACTTCAATAACGTATGTTTTTCTGCTTCATTTATACTTTCTGGAATCACAGTGTCACACTTTTTACAGAAAAAAGACAAAGCAATTTTGAGGCTATTCTCTCTTCTTCCTGTGCATGGTTAAAAGTGTTCTTACCTCACAGTTGCTGAGATCAAGAGAAACTCCCTTTAAGTTATAATTACAAGCCAGGCCCAGTAACAGTGCTCTGAGGGGAAGAAACATACACATATTAGATACAAATTCCACACATTGCCGAAAATACATAAGCACACAGGACAGAGCCCATGAAAAGAAAAAGCCTTTTCTGAATCACAGGTCAAGCGCTAAGCACCTTTTCACTTTTTAAAATGCCAACTGCATCTCTGCCTCCCAAGAGCAGTGATAGATGCTGCTGCAAAATTCTTTTCAATATAGTGCAGGCCCATCATAAATGCAAAACGTGACAGGATTGCTATTACTTTGCACACAAATCAACACTACATCTAATTGCACACTAAAATGAAATTGTGTTCATCACAGATGAATTCCCACTTGCATCTGCTTGAGAATACCTGTAATAATGTTTAGAATATTATTAGGCAATGTTAGAGTAGCAAAATAAAGCTGGTTTTCCCTAAGGAGTATGTTAGGAAGTGAGGCTCCCAAGTACTCCAGGATATGAAAGTCTATTTAGATGGGTTCATTAAAGGACCCACAGAGGTAGGATGCGTAAGGGTGTAACAGCGCTGGAGAAGCAGTGTAAGGCTTGCACTTGAGGATCCTGACTGTCTGTCGGGCTACTAATTGATCACAGCTGATCAGCTATCAGCTGGTCACCGCTCTAAAAGACATTCTCTCATCTGCATGTTGGGAAGACTGGACTGATGATGCAGCCACACATTTCTCTAAGGAGGAATGGATTCTACTCGCACAAATCAGTCCTATGAAATCCAACACCATTGAGCAGGCTTGCAACAGAGATTCCACACATGCACACACACCCATGAAGTCACGCTGGAAGAACTCAAGGCCTTTAACTAGAGAATCTGATTCTACAGCCCTTTGGATTATTACTGACAACAGTAAATGGAAACTTCACAGATAACAAATTATTCTTAAACCTTAATTTTGCCAGTAAGTTTAACTTCATCACTACACCTGCATTAGTGTGTAGTAACGCATACATTGGCTGCCAAGTAAAAATACCAAATAGCCTATGCTGACCTAGGTTGTTCCGAAACCAAAGCACCTAAAAATTGATTATGTTGCATGCACACAAGCGTACAGAGGTTGATCATTACTGTGAGTACAAAGCTTTAGAACAAATACTGATTAAAATGCACACTCTCAAGAATATACCTAAAATGGACTGAACAGGGTCAATATACAGGCAATGGTAGCTGGGGGCAGATTTTTTTCTTTCACAGAAGATGTAACAATATCAATCATGCACATTTACTCAAAAATAATTTGATTTCCTTTTGTGCCTCAGAGTAAAGAAGCCTTTTCATCTGCCTTGTCTATTCTAGTATTACACATCTTTTTCCCTTCCCTCAAGCACATTCCTAATAACAAATTGAACTGTGAAAGCTCTGGAGAAAATGAATTAACCACTTACTTTAAGGGTTCAGAAGACAGTTTTGTGCCTGAAAGGTTGATGTGCATCAGAGCCAGAGAACTACTAAAAAACTGTTTGAAAGATGGGGGTACCTCTTTTCCTTTCCTGAAAAACAAAACATTAGAGTCATACTAACAGTTAGACTTGATCTCAGGACTTACCTTCCAAGTTGGCAAAATCATCCACTGGTTAATCAGACACTGTGAAGTAATCCTATAAATCAGTTATATTTTCAGTAGAAATTTAAAGGTAAAGAAAAACCAAGTGTCTGAACATCCAACACAATTAAAGGAATGATGTAAAATAATTTAAGATATCTCATTAAGTTCTCAAAACAATTTATCCCCATTCTTGGTAGCCAGTGAAATCATTGTGTTTTGCCCAAAGATCTTCACGGAACTCCATGTTTGGATTTTTAAAAAACAGGAGGTCAAAATTGTATATTTCTCACCAATTCAAAGAGCTTTCCCATGCAGTGGCACCGAGTATTAAGGATCATTACCTGCATTCAACACTACAGATGACCCTTGAACAACATGGTTTCCAATTGAGAGTGTCCACTGTATAAAAGGATTTTTTTCAATATTGGAAAATTTTTTGAGATTTGTGCAATTTGAAAAAACATTTCTTTTCTCCAGCCTACTTTAAGAATACAGTACATGACACATATACAAAACATGTATTCATTGACTGCTTATGTTATCAGGAAGGCTTCTGGTCGACAATAGGTTATTATTAGCTAAGTATTTGGGGACTCAAAGGTTGTACATGATTTTCAAAGGCATGGAGGGTTAGCACCCTTGACTCCCACGTTGTTCAAGGGTCAGCAGTATTTTTAGATGCAGCGTATCTCAGATGCCACAAGACGGCGACCTGATGTGGAGCTGAAGAACAACACAGACAGTCTGAGAGGCATGAAGCCAGCAGGGCAAAATCCTGCTCAACCCTCATATCCACACCACTAATCCAACCATTTCAGGCTAAATATTAGAAAAGTTAAGACCAAACTTCAAAAGGAAATGGCTACAACTTCCAAATGTGTCCACCTGCTGTTACAGTGGGAAGTAAGTGGGTCAGATCCTAAAACTCTACAGGAAGTTAGAGTCAACACCACAGTGTGAAGGTGTAAGAAAAACAAGATTCCAGAGTCAAAGTTGGAATGTGGACACTTAGCTTATTTTGTTGTAGCTGAAAGAACTGATAGAAGGACTGAGTAAGGCCACATAAGTAAAACAGCCTGATGCACACCGAACACTCATTTAATGATTGTTATTCATATTCTGTGGAAAGATTCACAGAGTCTCAGGGCAGAGGCGATCCTAGTTAGTGGTCTAGTTTAACCATGTAATATTCAACAGCATTTAAGTACAGAGGTCCAGGAAATATTTTTTTTAAGTTTTAAAACAGAACAATTTCAGGCTTTCTGAGAAGAAATATCGATGTAACCAGAATCTCTATTTTAAGAGAATGAAAATTCAGGTTAAGAGTAAAGAGAAATCTGGTAGAATATACATGAGACATTTCCAACAACTCTTGTTCTAGATAGTGGAACAATATGAGCTTGTACACTCCCATTCATTTTTTGAGGAGCAAATGTTAGATTACTCCTTGAACATAGTTCTACTACTACTACTCCATCAGATGTCAATTTTTCCAAGGTTTCCAAATATTTGCTGCCCTTTTCTGAAGAAGTATGACGTTCATCACCCTGCTGAAAGCAGGCTTGGCCCTGGGAGTCCCTTGGGTCAGTGGGACATCCATCAAGCAGAAGTGATGCAGGTGACCTCTAAAGAGAAGCTTTGCTAGCTGGTATGGGCACTGCCAGGACTCTTTTTCCTCTGCTATGCAATTGTCAATTGTCAATGTTTTACAGAGGCTGCTCTGCCCCCGGAGTGAAGGTGACATGGCCAGTCCACAAGGGATGTCACAAAACTGCTGTTGCTGAAAGCCATGGAAATGGGGGTCAGGGTGGAACGGTCATTTGTTACTGTGGAACAACCTAACCTCTAGTGACTGATACACTTTTATGAAATTAACTGTGAGTAACAAGACGAATAGCCTGGCTAACAGTCCACAACTCAGTATAAATCCAGCAATTTCAAGAGAATTATTAAGGGCTTTCTATGCTTATGTTTAGTTAAGGTACTGAGTATTAAACAATAATCACAACCTTTCATTGGAAAGATAAGGTAATTTGTTAATGCAATTCCGCTTTACAAGCTAAATAGCTCTACTTAAGACCAGCTGCCACAGAATTTATAGTACTGTGAACTCAGAAGAGCAAATCTTTATTTTCATATAAAGTCTTATGATGTCACCTTCGAACTCTTCCCTGAGTCACTTACAGCTCCACCAATAGATGGCTTAATAAGCTGCCTTCAAATACATGAGTTAACTGGGTATTCTTAATTAATAGCCTTGAAGGCCCTCAAAATAAAAATATCTCAGAAAACTCTCAACTTCTCCCACCATTATAAATACTCTCTGATCTTATTCTACTGAGGTGTTTGTGGCAAATTTTTGCTATTGTAAAGATTTATATCATATAAAAGTAGTGGACCAATAGAACATTAAAATACAGAATAATTCATTTGTGAGACACAATTGTAAAATAAGAAAGCTGAATAACTGAATCTTCCAAATAAATGAGGATTATCCCTTTGAACATATAAAGCTTTAAAGAAGTCAATAAAAATGGAGGCATTTCTAATGCTAAGCAAGTCTCCATGTCATTACAGAGCATATAGTAACTAAAATATTGTCTGTGACTTGTGGTCATAACTATGAGTGCTAAATGTTGAACTATATGAATACATTAGATTAATACATTAATTCCAGATTTCCATACTTACATAACCCATGTACTTTTCATAGTTTTCTTTATTCTCCCTCCATCCTAAATTGCTGCTTTTTCTGAATACTTGCTGTTTCTAATCTTCTGCCCTATTTTACAGTCCTAAGTCAGGAATGTAGAAGTGAGCTACTTAGGCTGGTCTTCCACTTTTACAAATTAAAACGCAGGATTTTGGGATGCTGTCTCTCTGCTCCCCAGAGGTTGTTTATACTTACTTCCAAGCTCATCACTAAGTTCCCAAAAGAGTTGTCACTACAGTGAGAGAGAGTGCCAGTCCACAGATGAGGAACAGTATATTATCATATAGTTTACACAGGTGGGCTGTAGTTACTGACAGGAACATCACATGGCAGCGAAAAAAGATGCAGATACAACTTGAAGTTTCAAGGCCTAGTATTCACATACACTGGTTTAGCGCCATCTTCTTTCATGCCCAGCATTCACCCTTTATCATTACACCTTTCTCTGACAGCAAGTCACTCCTAGATGATAATGATAGCAAGCGTAAGTTCATACCGGTGAGAAAAGACAGTTCTGGAGAGATTGAGCACAGCTAAACACTGAAGGCATCCACGGAGGAGAGCTCCACAGACCTGAGAAAGAAATAAGGTGCTCTTATTTCAAATATTTCTAGGCCTAAGAGAATATTTTAGTAGAAAGCCCTTTCTATCCCATGTATACATCTATTCTGAGAACCCCAGAGCACTATAAAAAAATATTACCATGTCCAGGGAACATTCTGTGTTGGACAAATCCAGATGGGCAATGGCATTTGGCTGGGCCATAAAACTGTACATGCACTTGAAATAAAAAACAAACAAATATATTAGAATCTAGAAACATACACATACATTATGCAACTTCGTATTTTAAAATGAAGTCGTCCAAATCCTCCCAGAATTATTTTCTACTCTTCCCAAGAAGATTAGCAGAACTTTATGTCATTTCATTACCTTCCTTGAGAAAAATCTATTTAAATGGAAAAAAAAAAGGCCAAGTGGAATTTTGGCTAACAATCCCCCTTTTGATTACACATGCCTTCGTTTTCCTGATTAGCTCCATTTTTACAATTTCGGAACAGTGCTAATTAATTTTAACTGCTGAACATGAAATACCACCTGAACGGCAGTCACCTTATCAAAATGCTGATCACTTTGAATATGTTCAAATTTAAATTTGATCCACAGGCTGGTCTCAGGCTATACTCCCTTCTCTCCAACACTGTGATTTTTCCTTTCTTAGTTACTTTCAAAATCTAGCAAGAAAGGGCCTCATAGTGCTATTAGTTCTGTTTTTAAATCTCACATATTGCTAAGACGTTTCAGGTTTCCGGGGTCACAGTACCTAAACTCTACCTTTCTCCCGGTGCAAGGCTATCAAAACAATAAAATTAGTAATTCTGTTATTCTCTAATCGCCCTGTGTGAGTAGCAACTGCCACAGTCCACCAAGAACAAACTGAGCCCAAGCTCCTGCCCACAGGCGAACAGCTAAATTCGCGAGATGCCGCCAAGTAACTTGCAAAACAAGCAAGCTTACATTGAGATGTCCTAGTGCTTGAGGAAGGCTTGTAAGTGCAGAGGCTTAGCTATCTAGTGCTTGAGAAAACTCCTCTCTACCAAGGAATTCGGAAGAGGAAAAGTTCAGTCCGTAAATACTTTAGAGTAACCAGACACCCAGAGCAGGTTGTATGACGGAAAGATTCAGAAAAATGTTGCTTTCATTTACATGAAGGCCCGCTTGTCTTTCTTCGCCCGGTGCTGTGGTTTTACTCCCCGCCGCCAGCAGGGGGAGCGCTAACCACCCTCAGGTGATGCCAGGCCCCTACTTCACCGCATCTCCAGAGGGGGGCCCTGGTGGGCGGCTCTCCCCGGGGGCACCGGTCCCACTAAGTCCCGCCCCACCCCGGCTGCGTGACCCACAGCCCCTCAGCCCCCCCGGGGCCCTCCCCCTTTCCCAGGGGCGAGCTGGGGTAAGACCAGTCCTGGCCCGAGAAACACCGCGGGCCCCTTGGGTAACTGCGCTGCCTCTCCTAGCGCAGCCTCACTGTCCGATCTGCAGGCCTCCTCCCAAGCCTCCTCCTGCTCCCGGGGCGCGTCGCTGTGCTGTGTCGGTGGTCTCACATCGGACTCCCGGTGTGCACTCGGGGGGAGCGGGTTCATGAGTCCCCAGTGCAGGTGACAACCGAACACGCGTCACGCATTGACCAAGCCAGGGCACACCGGGAAACGGGCATTGTTTAAACCGTCTCAAGTGTAAGGGAGAGGGAAAAAACTACAAAAAGGACTATGGCAACAACACTCCCTGCCTTACAGGTAAATGAAACATAAGGAAAATGAGAATAAATTTCATGGTGTGTTTCACCCCCATGAAGCAGTAGAATGCAGAGCAGGTCCTTGGAAGATGCTCACTTGCTGTGCGCCCCGTTGGTAAGGCGGCATTTCTTCTAGATTCCGTGGTGGTGACCAGCGCGGGCCACTCACTGCATTTGGAAGTGAGATGATACCTAATCCACTATATCAGTACGACCTGCCAAACATCTGTTACGATTCAGCTGCATGAAAAATCTTATCATTGAGGAGAAGCATTTTGCCTTCACACTCAAACTCTGAAGAGTGGCTTCAGTTGATTCTTATCTCTCCCTTTTCTCTGGTGTATTCATAGAATGCAGGTCTGGAGTTTACCCCAATATCCCCTTTCAATTTTTTTGTGGGGAAAATAAAAGCCTTCCCCACAACATTATTTAATAATGAAATAACTCAGTTTATATGTCTACTCTTTCTTATCAGGCAATTGTAAAAGGTGCAATAATGTTTTTAAGTGAAGGGAAAAAATCCTTCGGAAAAAGTGATTCCAAAAAGAATTTAGACTTCAGCAACATTAAGTGTGTGTGGGGAGGGGGTGGGGGGGAGGTAATCTATGTGAGAGACTATTATTAATTAAGGAAGGCTCTGGAATTTTGCTCTATAACACTTCATAAGCTCATAACTCAATGACCTTAAAATGTCATGATAAAGGGAGATGCAGGGAAGTAAGTTAGAAGACCATGTTTAGAAATTATTCTAGACTTATTAAATATACTTTAAAGGGAAGGAAAACCTACCGAGAGGTCGTCTCCGCGAAGGACGTTTCCTGAGAGGTCTAGGTGGACAAGGGTGCTGGCGGTCAGCGGGTTGGCACTGAGTGACTGGGAAAGGCTATTCACCCCTGCAACACCGAGAAGATCCAGGCTCAGTTTCCACTCCCAGAAACAAAGTGCGGCTTGTGAGTTTCTATGAATGGCCCGGCAGCCCCGAAGTGGACGATGAGGCCGCCCACGAGCAGGCTCCCTGCAAGGCGGCTCCCGGACCGTCTTCCCTGACACCCCTTCAAGGAGAGCGAGCCAGCCACAGACGCTGGGCAGGAGAGAGAAATGGAATCAGCTGCATTCCGCTCTACTTCTTCTGATGTGGACAGAAAATACTTTACTCTGAAGTTTTAAAATTATGTAAGCAACCTAATGATAATTTTTATCCTCCTCTCACTCCTCTCTGGGGATTCTTGACATCGTGTTCGGTATTTAAATGACGCAAGAACAAATGCAGGTACTTGAGGCTGTTTACGGCATTTAGGAGTCGGCAGAGGATTGTCCTGCTCTACTTGACGTATTATACTCAAGGCAAAATTTGCATCGGAATGGACTTCTTCAGAAAGTGAAAAAAGTGATCTACATACAATGTAGGAGGCAGTCAAAGGAAAACATGATCATTAACATTCGATACGCTATTTACATACATAACATACATGGCTCTAGTCACAGTTCATTGAACTAAACTGATAATGCCACTTCAGAAAAAAAAGAGTGAGAACATGAGGGCCGGAATGTTCTGTGAGAAGAGAGCTATGTTCTGTTACGTGTGGTCACAGTAACGGAGACAAGCCTCCAGGCAAGGCCGTATGGTAGGCGGATTCTCATCAGGACACTTCAAGGGGGAAGCAGAGGCTCCAGGGGGTGTATCACTGCAGAAGAGGAACCCAGGAGATGCTGGTCACTCACCGGGATTCAGCGAGGTCAGTACACACAGGATCAAGGGTGACTATCTTAGTATAACAGGGATACAGCAAAGCTCTTCGTGCTTCTACAGATCACAGTTCTAATTTGCATATTTTGGAAATGTGGCTCTTCCTAAATTGGGTATACTTTCACAAATTATTTCTTTTTTCCTGTTTTTCAGTAAAATTCTTCTTGAACTACCAGCCTGTCTTAACCACTCTGCAGGGAAACAGGGAAGAGGGGGTCTGTTCACATCTGGGCAGAGTCTTCATCAGGGTGAGGGGCCAGGCCAAGCCTGCATCGAGAGCTGCAGTGCAGGAGAAAGGCTGGGGGCTCGAGGACAGCCTCACGCCGGGGCAGGTCTCTGCTCCGGGTGTACAATGTGGGGTGTGTGGCAGTGATGAGGGGGTTATTATCTCGCCCTCAGCTTCGGAGAGTTACAAAGAACCGACTTTGCTTCTCAAGGATGAATGCACATTTGGGTATGCAGAGAGAAGAGACAGAGGGTGGAGTGAGAAATTCTTAATTAAGGAAGAATTTCTTGGCTTTCAACTTACTATTTATTAAGTGCTCATAAAATGCTGGGGATTGAGAAAGACATGTAATTAAGACCTGCTTTTTGCCCTCAAGTTCAAAGGTAATCAGGAAAGAAACTAAATAAACTCCAGCATGAAAGGTCAGTGCTACGCAAGGAGTATTTATTCACTGCAACAAAACTTTATTTAAAGCCTCTATGTACCAGGCTTCTGAGACCCGGGGATACTATCTTACCCTCTAAAAGCCAGTCCAGCGGAAGACAAGAGAGTGCAATAACCAGGATCCAGTGAGGTCAGTACTATCAAAGAAATAAGAAAGAAAAGCTTCGCAGTGAAGGAGGCAGACCTGAGCAGCTGAGCTAGATAAAAGGAACCTGCAACACCTATAGAAAAGATTAATTTCTGGATGTAATGTCTATGATTGTCTAAATGACCAACTTCCTTCAGTTTGTCCTATTATTAGTAAAAATATTAATGTATTTTGTAATGGAATAATTCAGTATAAAACATGGAAAATACCAGACTCTCATTAAAAAAAATCATTTATAAAGTAACTTCTTTAGTGAGGTGTAACAAAACTCATTAAATTCCAAAATTAGAAGGTCAGATCAGTCTGACAGAAAAATGCTCCTTGATAAGTGCGTTTTTGGCACTTGGCAGTTAGCCAACATCTGAATAGAACCGAGAGAATCGTCATCAGCCCAGCTTCATGCCACTGGAACAGAATGAAGGATTTCCTCCCCTACCGTGAGTCCACAACCACGTGAAACTTCTGCTAATAAGCACACTAAAAGCAGGAAATTACAAAAAATAGGGTATTTTACTAGGCCTCTTACAACCCAAACTAAATACAGATTTATTTACATGCCATACTTGATTCTGACTGCCCAGTGATTGGGGCCATTCTTTCTATTTATTACAGGAATATTTACAGCTGGAAAAAGGTGGTACCAGGTGGCCTCACACTGACATGATCTGGCAACCAGCAGGACGTTTACCAGAAATCCAGAAAACTGTCATTCAGCTACCATCAGAGGGGTAGAGAGGGTATTTGGGGACAGTGGGAATGCTCACGGGGAGACTAAAAAAGAATCTCTTGAATTATGGCGCCATGGATATAAATGTTTTCATATATCTAAAATATAAATGTTAATCAAATTCAGCAAAGGATTAAAACTGCAACATAATCTGAGTTATTCTGAATCTTCAAAACTTTCAGATACTATGTAAAAATCTGCAAGAAAAATGACAGCCTTTAAGAAATAAATTTTTTTTAAAAACTAACATTTCAAGATATAGATCTCAGGAAGGACAAGTTAAAATTCTTTGGGTCAGAATGTTACTAAACAATATTAATTCTCAAAACACATTTTAATGTATACAGTTTTATTGCAGAGAAGAGATAAAAGTGGTGCCCTCTTTGTGGAGGGTGTAGGGGAAGGAGGTTTGTCTTCACTCACAAGGAAGCTGAGGGACCCAGCTTTGCCTGGGGAACCTCCCACCCCCATCACACCAGGGGGGTCCGCGTCAGTGAGGAGAGACACTGAGGCACCTCAGAACTAAAACTTGTCCTTGGGAGGATAAAGGATCACCACAACCATCTTATTTGTTTTATTGTAATGAACAAATAAAATAAACAAAGTGAAGAAAACCCTATAGCTTAAAAAAGTGTTGGACCATACAGCATGGTGACTATAATTAATAATATGATATTGAATATTTGAAAGATGCTAAAAGTAAATCTTAGAAGTTCTCATCACAAGAAAAAAAACATCACTAACTATGTATGTTGATGGGATGTTAACTAGCCTTGTGTCACTGCACAATATATACAAATATTGAATCATGTTGTACACGTAAAGCCAGGATATTGTATGTGAATTACATCTCAATAAAAATTAATATAAAAATGAATTAGACCTATGGAGCACATGACAAATGATTAATACTTAGAATATGTAGAAAATTCATATAGATTAAGAAAGATTAACATTGAAAATAAGGAAAGAACAAAGGATGGCAACTAGCAATTTCCTCAAAAAAAATACAAATTACGAAGGAATATCATGTAGCCACTAAAAGTGATCATGTGTTTACCAACATAAACAATCACAATATACTATGTGGGAGGAAAAGTTTATAAAAAGGTAAGCATTGTATAATCCATTTAATCCATATATGCATGTGTGTGTATATGGGTATATGTATATGTGTGTGTATTTATGCATTTATTTATACCTGTATATAATTATGCATTTATATACATGTGTGTATATGTATATGTGCAGGTGCGCACGCACACACACACACACACACACACACACACACACACATATACCATGTAAACAGAAAACAGTATGAAAGGATGGGCACCAAATTGTCAACAGTGACTGTTTTGTAATGGTATGTATGGTACTGGCATTACAAGTAATTTTTGCTTTCTTATTTGTACTTTTCTGTCTCTTCTAGATCTTTACCATAAAAATGTATACACTGATAATCATCAGAAAAAGGTTTTTATAAAACTGACTTGCTGAGGTGAAACAGTGATAACATAAAGGGACTACCCTTGCCTAAAAGATCTTAGATGGCTTCAGACACCAAGACAGAAAACCCTGACTCCTGGGGAAATTTTTCCCTTTGGTAGGTTTCTTTTATGCCTTAATCTTAAATATGTGAATACAAATGTGTGCACATAAAATCATGGGACTTAGGGAACATACCCCAACTTCAAATCACTCTCAATGTAACTGTATGGTCAGAATAAAGTAAGATTGGACGGACATAAGATCACTGAGGGCGCTCTTAGCATCACCCCCTCAGCCATGACACATTCAGAGAGAACTTACAAGGCACCAGGCACACAACAATGACTGAGGCAAAGCCCGTACTGTCCAGAAAAATCCCCAGCTGAAATGCAATCAAAGCATATTAGGAAACACACTAAAAGAGAGGAATACACAAAGTACTGTGAAACAGAGAAAGGAACCTTTTGTTCTGCAGGGTGTGGGAAGAGAAGGCTGCCAGAGAGAAAGTGAGAGAGAAGCTGAATCCTACAGAATGAGCAGTAATTCACCTGACTTGTGGATGGGACACTGAGGCTATCCCAGGCCAAAATAAAAGCACACAGAAACCATGAAAGCACAAGGTCATGAAGATGATGATGATGTGGTGGTGGTGGTGGTGACGGAGGTGGTGGTGGAGGTAGTGGAGGTGCTGGTGGTGGTGACAGAGGTGGTAGTGGTGATGGTGGTGAGGGACGTGGTGAAGGTGGTGGAGGTGGTGATGGAGGTGGTGGAGGTAGTGGTGGTGGTGGTGGTGGTGATGGAGGTGGTGATGGAGGTGGTGAAGGTGGTGGAGGTGGTGATGGAGGTGGTGGAGGTAGTGGTGGTGGTGGTGGTGGTGATGGAGGTGGTGATGGAGGTGGTGGTGGTGATGGTGGTGCTGGTGGCATGGCCCTCGTGCCCAAAAAAGTGCACTGTATTTACATTAACTCATTTCATCATACCACCTCTGATGAAGTAGATACTCGTATTTCCATCCTATAAATGAGGTAACTGAGGAACCAGGATATTGTAAAAAAGTTCCAGGACTCAGGACTCAACCCAAGTCAGTCTGCTTGAGAACTGACACTATTAATCACTACACACACTGCCCTCAAAAGACAGTGATATATTTAAGAAATGGCAAGGTATTTAATTCAAGAAACTTTGGTTAAACACCCACAATAGTCCAGACACTGAGACTGAGGGAGGGGCTGGAAACATGGAGAAGAGACGAGTACAGGTCTCAGGGAGATGCCCATTCTAGTAGTGAAGACGCAATACTTACACAGTAGTAATAGATATGTGATCTAGAATAACACAAAGGAAAGAATAGTTGATTCTGTTGAAGTGTCTTAGAAGAGATGATAAGAGAGAAACTTCTACAAAATAAACTGAATTTCTGCAAGAATATTTGGGGATGTGTGAGGTAAGAGAAAATATATATATTGGTCTCTGCCCCAGGACTTCCCTGGTTCCTGACCCTGGACTCCTAAAATCCTTGTAATTTCCTAAGTAGCAAGGGCACCAGGAGCCTCTTTCGGTGTAATGAGGTGGCACTGGGCAGCTCTTAGATGGAGGCTGGTCAACTGAAAGATGAAACCTATGATGAGAAGCTTGGAATTTTCAGCCTTCTTCCCACCTCCAAATCCTCCAGAGAGGGGAGAGGTGCCAGAGACGGGGTTAATCATTAGAGAAGGGTTGATAACTGATCAAACCTAAATGAGGAAGCCTCCAATAGGACAGGCATGGGAGAGCTTCCAGGCTGGCAGACACATCCACACTGGTCGCATGGGACACCTCAACTCCACAGGGACAGCAGTTCCCGTGCCTGGGACCCACCCCTAGATCTCACCCTCACCTATCGCGTCATCTGGCTGTTCATCTGTATCCTTTCATATCCCTTGATAAAGCGGTCAATGTAAGTGTTTCTCTGGGTTCTGTGAGCCACTGTTGCAAATGAAGCCCAAGGCAGAGGGCTTTGGAACCTCCAATAACCTGGGCTTGCAGCTCGCATCTAAAGCGCTGGTATTGAGGGGGCAGTCCCAGAGCACGGAGCCCTTAACGTGTGGGATCGGGCACTATCTCCAAGCAGCGAGCACCAGAACTGCGTCGAGTTACAGGAACCCAGCTGATGTCAGAACTGCTTGGTGTGGAGAAAAACCTCCACACATGTGGTGACCAGAAAAGGCAGAAGAGGACGGAGCGCTCCGTGTGAGTGGTAAAGAAGACACACAGGAAAGAGAAGCAGGGCAGGAAGGGGAGAACGAGGCTTTCCTTGCACAGGATGAGAGAACGGCTTCTCAGCAGACCACAAAGCATGTGCAGAGGCATGACGCACGCAGAGGCATTTCCAGTATTATTATGAGGTTGCTGATGTGGTGAAATAATAATGGAATCAACAGGCTTTGATGGGCAACTGGATAAACGAGAGGAGGATGAGTGGGACCAGGAAAGAATCTGGGGAAGGAAAGGAAATTTCCAGAGCAGCAAATAATGGGGTAGAGACAGCGGCGACTGGGTGGTTAGGCCCAGTTTTCTGTAGAGCAGACAGTCCATCCGAAATATGGGAACCAGGGGGTGGGAACAGACATGGGGAAGGGGACCTGCAATGCTTTACACGAAGGATGAAGGAAGAGAAACACACCCAGCTGCCTCTGGGAATGTGAGGAATGAGGCCGGGGGCAGCCAGGTGAGCATTCCCTGACTTGAAGTTCAAAAGTTAAAGACTGTATGTGTATTTCAAAAAATTTTCTCTACTCTGAAAGCATTTTACTTCAGGCAACCAGAATTCCAATTACATAATTTCTTTATCTTGACACTGCCAAGATACCATAATACATATATTTTAAAATGCAGATACATAACTGAGTAATACCTTGTAACTATTTAAGGTAGCATTGTGCAGCAAAAACATCATAGACATAAAGTTAAGTAAATAAGATATACTGTACCTTTAGGTGACAGTGAGGTTTTAGATAAATTTAAATGCTTTAATCCTTTTGGGAGTTTGGCAAATTGAATACTTAAAGAGGATACACCTAAGAGAGGAAAAAAAGAGATTATTAGAATTTTCAAGTTCCCAAAACTGCATGTTTCACAATGCCTGAAAATTAAATTTGACTCCAATTTAAGTGATTACTTTTTCTTTCTAATGTCAAACCTTATTTTCTAATCATCTACCATCACGTGTCCTTTCCTTTCTGTCCTACCTATAGGGTAGGAGAAAAGGAAGATTGCTTAATTAAACATCATTATCCGTTAGAGAGGTTTTCACTTGGGCCAAGTGTGAGCCTCTCCTAACAGCCCTATTTCAAATGCAAACACTCTCAGGAAGAGGGATACAATTGTCCTTCCCTCTCCTTTTCAACTGTGTCTTAATGAGCTGCTCGGTCTTCTGGGTGAGCAGATACATGCGATTTAATTATTGTTAAGAAAAACAGCATGACATCAACTAGTCAGACAAACAGCTTCACTTTTAGCAGACGGATTCCAATACTTCATTAGCTAGTGGGCTAAAAACCTCGGACAAAGCATTAGAGCGTGTTTTTACTTCTCAAAGGTAGGTTATGTGACTTGAAATAACTCTCAAGTATTAAAATCAGGTATGTCTACTTTTAATGGCCAGAATGGAAGACGATGAATACCGGCTCACTCATCCAAGAGTGCTAGGAATGTGCACCGCTTTCTGCGAGGTAAGAAACAATAAATGAATATACACCTTCCTACAGGTTCTTCAACCAGCCTCCTGCTGCCTGGGAGTCATCACCTGCCCGGGGGCATGTTTTTGGGAGGGCTCCTAAAACAGGATTAACCACATGGCCCCCTAGACTGCCTGTCAAACTCTAGGCACTGATAAGGAACTACTGTGCTGGTTGCTGCTCTTTTATAACCCCCAAAACCTCTACAAATTTTATCAAAGATTATCAAGAAATAACTACTGTAGAAATAACAAAAAGGCACACAACTTGACTAAGCTTCTAGATGGGTGTTTTCCCAGGGATGCTGCGTATTCTGGGAGCCCCTGCCTATCTCTCCACGGCATTTCCCAAGTTTGACAATCACTGGGTTAAATAATGTGAAACAGGTTTTTTATCTGAATATGCTAATCCATATTACTAATTGCAAAGAGGAGGCAGTCCTGATATTTCGCTGATAAATTCTTGTAAAAGAATGAATAACTAACAAGTTAATGGCGGGAGAGGAAAAAGATGAAGCAATCTGTAAAACTTAATTAATCCAAAAGGCAAAAAAGGTGAGATGAGAAAGGAACAAAGGGAAAAGACAAACCAGATTACACACACACACCATCACACAAATTAATGATTACATTAAGTATAACTGTGCTAAACACTCACAAACTAAAAGTTAAAGGTGGATCGTCTAAACAAAAATACCAGGTGTTTTTAAGAGACACACTTAGAAATTTATGTGTTCAGAAGTAAACCTAAAAGCATGGAAAAAGATACACACTGCAAGCTTTAACAAAAAAAAATGGCGCTTCTGTAATCATATAAACAAGTTAGATTTTAAAAAGCATGAGTAGAAATAAGAGACATTTCATTAAGGAAAATGTAGTTATGCTAAATCTGTATGTTCTGAATAACACAGTCTCAAAATACAAGAACTAAATTTAATGATAACAAAAAGAAAATATATGTACTATTATACACATATATGCAAACACAATAGTGCTAGATTTTTAAACATGTCTCTCAGTAGATGATAAAATGAACAAAAAAAAGATTATGGAAACATATGGAAAATACCAAGAGCACAATGAAAAAAGATCTATTTGGTATATTTAAAACACTGTACCTAATAAGTGCAGAATATATTTCTTCAAAGTACACACAGAGCATTTGCCAAAAGTGGTAAATGTTCTCATATACTGTCTCAACAAATAATACAGAGCCTGTTCCTTAACTGCTGTGAAACCACACAGAGCATATTCTCTATTAGTTTCTAGCATCCCTTTATTATTTTCTAACTGCTACCACTGTGGAATTAAGATAGAAATTATAATAAAAAGACAATTAGAAAATCCCCAAATAACTAGAACTTAAGCAATGTATTTCTATGTAACAAATGAGTCCATGAAAAAAAAAACACAATGAAAAAATATTTTCATTTACTGTATGAATATTTTGGGGAACCAATGAGAGCCATGTTTAGAGTGAAAGCTGTAGTCGTCTATATGTAATTAAGAAGAGAAGCTAGAAGTGAATTATCTAAGTATCCATCTCAAGATGTTTGAAAGAAAAAACAGCAAATTAATCCCCACTTGTAAGTCCAGGGAAAGGAAATCCCAGGGCAAAATACCTCTAAAAACCAAAAAATCAGTCAAAGGGAGAAATTAAGTTTAAAATCCATTTATTGCTCACAAACTGCAGTCAGGGGCCATCTCTCTCTCCTGCTCCAGCAGAAGCAAAACCAGC